CAGTTACTCTTCTCTGTGTTGGATCATGTGTTGAGATCTTTTGTTGTGTTTTGTTGGACATTTTCAGTAGTTAGGTGGGTTTTTAATGCTTAAATGGATGTATGTTACTGTGTTGTTAAGCTTACTGAGTATCTCCTGGTGGATGTGATCTGGAGATAGGCTTCCCCTGTCATGTGTAATGCCTGGCAGCTGGGATTGGCTCTTGTCCAGATGGTGGGATATTACAGGGTATGCTCATAGCTTGGCTATATGAGCACAATTTCTGTGTCTTCTTGGGTAAAGTGGTGGTGGTGGTGGTTATGTGACATGGAGTTGGTTCCGACCCATAGCGACCCTGAACAGGGTTTCTGAGGCTGTAAATCTTTACGGAAGCAGAAAGCCTCATCTTTCTCCAGTTAAGCAGCTGATAGTTTCGAACTGCTGACCTTGCGGTTCGTAGCCCAATTCATAACCACTACGCTACCGGACCTTGGGTAAGGTAGGGGGAGAAAACTCCCACCCCTAGGAAAAGTGTGAGACCAAAAGGACCAAAGACAGAAACAATATAAAAGCAGTGACCAAAACCACCACTCAAAAAATAAACTAACATGGTGGTCGACTGTCCGGTAGCCTTTGCTGTGAAGCAGGGATAAAGGGTCCCGCCCAGGTCAACTTTAGGGCTGGGTCCCAGAGTGAGACATCATAAGAAGCAGCGTACGGGACTCCTCATTGTGCCATGGGAAGATTGTGAGTGCAATGCCTTTTGGGGGTGTGCTTCCACCCTCCTGAAAGTGTCCGGGCTGGGCAGTGGGGGTGCAATTGGGAAGAAGAGGAAAAATAAGTGAAAAATGAAAAATCGGTCACACGTCTCCTTCCAGATGCCTCTGCTTGGCTGTGGCCCCACCCTCTGATCTCAACCCAGACTGTCCTGATTGATGGAGAAATGGCCGTATTTTGCTTCCACAGTCAGATTACTCCACAGGTGGGTGTGGGAAACTGGCACCTGGAGCCTATACAAGATCCAAGACTCTGGCACTGTTCCGCGAAAGCTCCTTCTCTGCTTTTTCGGCACCTCTGCAGAGGAGCTTTTCCTACCCGTCCCTCTCCTTGGTTTTGATAACAGAAAGAACGTTGCCTTTAGTTTGGCAAGCTCTTTCTCATCAGAGAATTCCAATTTTAGAGTTTGCCCTCTTTACCCTGAAAGTGAATTTGGCCATAAATCTGCTTGCCAGCAAGGACCTGGTCATGGAGTGCCTTCTCTGTACAGTGTCACCCCCAGATCATCAGTTTTTGTCTGCTAATGTCTCTACAACTGATGGGTCCCAGCACACGGTCAGACTTGAGCCTGCGTCTTTCAGAATCCTAACACGAGCGGGTCTCAGAAACAGTGGTCCCCTTCCCCTTGCTCGGCCCTTTGCAGGGGGCTCAGGGGACTCATTAAAGCCTCTGGTCTTTGGGGGCCTGTGTGAGGCCAGGGGGTTCTGTGGGATCCTCCCACTGATGCCCGGGGCTCCGGGAGCTCTGCAACCACCAGGCTCCTGCCTTCGATCTGTAGTCACTATGGAAACGGTAGAAGCTCTCTTTCTAAAGCTGAGTTTACAATGAAGCACTTCAAGTGTTGGTAGGATTAGAGACTTTAGAAGATGTTTAATTTTCTCCTCCACTCTTCTTGTCTTTCTGTCTCTTTGGAGAGGGAACAAGAGGGCAGTGTGAATATTAACTGGGACTTGCTTTAATCTCCCTGTGACACTGAGGGCTGCCAGGGTCCCCACCCGCCATCCGGGGTCTTGGCCTCTCACAGCACTAACAAGGAAGGCCATCCATATTCATGCCCTGGTGGGGGGAGCTCTGAGGGGCAGTTCCTCAGAGCCAGGCTCCAGGGTGGTTTTCTGTGCAATGCAAAGTGTGCGGGAAAGGAGCAGCCAGGACAAATGAAGTCTGAGCCCAAGACGGCAGTGCTGAGACACCTCGTTGGAAGTAGGGGGCATTACACAAGAGGGGGTCCTCGTGTGGTGGCAGCATTGCCACCAAACTGTTAGAAGGGGCAGGCACCCTGAGCCCGCCAATGAGGGCAGGTGGGCAGCACCTGCCTATAAGTCTGACCGCCTAAAGCCAGCCTCCCTAGAAGAGGGAAACGTACTACACAGTGAGGGTGATGAACTTGCTGTGTTGGGAGTGGACCTTGTGGGGGCTTTGTTATTGTGCATGTCACTGCCTGCTTTTTTTACATGACGTATTTTCTGTTGTTGCTGAGACCATTCACAGCAAAGCACACACCAGTTCACCAGTTTCTCCATGGACAGTTGAGGAACATTGCTTCCATTCTGGGAGTTGTACAACATTCTCAGCCGCCTGAGTTATTCCTCCTCCATCAACTCACTGCCCCTCAGGGTCCTGTTGGATATTTGGGTTGCCGTTGTTGGGTAGTCTCGTGCAGCTAGATCTTTAAAACACAGCACCCACAAGACAAGTTGTTGGTTTGCTATTAAGCTGAACTGGGAGTTGGTTTCACAGAGACCTCAGGATGTTTTGGGCTCAAGGTTTAAAGATGATGTCAGTTTCAGGCTTCTGTCCAGCCTGCATGGCTCCAGAAAGTCTGGATTCCATGAGAATTTGAAATTCTGTTTTGATTTCCTCCCTTTTTATCAGAATTCTTCTATGGAGTCTTTGATCAAAATGTCCTGTCATGGTGACTGGGCACGCACCATCCTGTTCTGGCCTCATGACAAAGGAGGCAGCTGTCCATGGAGGCAGTTACCCACACAGCCCGTCTCCTCTTGGTCCTGACTCTCCCTCTCCTCTGTAGCTCCAGGTGAATAGAGACCAAGTGTTGTGCTTTGGACGGCCACTGGCACCGTGCACTGAGCTAGGAGTTAGCAGCATTACACATGTTCTTAGGCCAATTAAGCAGTTCATTTTCTTCTTCTTTCTGATGTGTCCAAGCAGAACACTACGCAGATGCTAACGCTAATGTGTTTGTGGCCTCTGCATCCTTCAACTCACAGCTGCTTTTCACTGTTTGAAGATCAGCACTGCAGCCCGAAGCAGAAAGAAACACCGCTTCCTTTTGGACTTTGGTGCCTCATCGGCCGGGTGTCCCGTTGGTGGCTGTGTTAGGAGTTCAGCCTGGTGAAGTTCTGGGTGATCCTGATTTATTTCTTAGGGCATTGAATGCACAGACTGCCACTGAAGGAGGCTCCTTGCAGGACAGACTATTCCAGGGGACACTTCCGTGCCACTGCCCTCTGGTCCCTCTTCCTTACTTAGACCTTACCATGGGCCTGGGGACTTCTCTCCGTGTAGACGTGAGCTGCTACTGGAACAGTGTGCCGACAGCACATGGTCATGGTTAACACCCACCCTCTCCGTCCACGTGGGCCGCTCCTGGTGTCCCCGGTCACATCCTTTCAGGGATACAGTCCAGCTTCCTGCCTGCTTACGTGTGTGTATCAGTTTACTTTCATCTGTCAGCTCCATGGAGCCCTGAGTCAGGAAACTGCACTGAAGATGAGAAGGAACCACACATGTCCATGTGGGCCCCTGCAGTCCCCAGGGTCCCACCCACATGGCCGGTGGGAGATCCATCCATGAGTTTGTACCTCCGGCAAGTAGTGCCTGGCGCTGCACTGGGGACAGAGCAATGTAAACAGTGAGCCATGGCTTACATCATTTCAATCAGCCTACAGGGAATGGCCACTCTGCTGGCCAACGGTCCTGCCCTGAGGGTGGTGTGAGGTGTGCCCGTGCAGTCAGAAGTGTGTGGGTCTGGAGAGTGGATGTGCATGTTCCGTGGGCTCATCTGAGGCCCAGTGAACACTGACTGTCCTCCAGAGGCTGGCTTGCTCCTGGCAGCCACCACCCAGTCTCAGTGCCTTTTCCGACTTGTCATTCTCGTAAACAAGCAACCAGGACATTTAGAAGGAAGAGAAGTGTTTTGCTGCTGACATTTGCCATTTGAGAGTTAGGCACCTGAACCAAAATTCCCCAGACTCACAGTGTTGGCTTTTTTGGTACCTCAGTTTACCCCAGAAGCCCTGGATAAGCACTGGACTGTTATCTGCAAGCAAGGTCAGCAGTTCAAACCCACCAGCTGCTTTTTAGAACCCCTCTATATGGGGTTGCTGTGGGTCAGAACAGACTTTACGGCATCTAACAATAGAATGTACTCCCAGGTGTAGAAGTACCCCTAATATCCTGCAGGGGTGAGTGGGTGGGCTCATATCATCCTCTGTACATGAAACCAGCCACAGAAATAACTTTGCTCAGAAATCCACTCCTGCACTAGGTGTTTGTGACACCAGGGACCGTTAGCTTTATTCTCTGTGCTGGCCCGGCACGTGGGTTGGTGACTGAAATAGAGGAGGTGGCGCAGCAGGTTAAGTGTTACGCTGCTTTGAACCCACCAGCTGCTTTCAGGAAGTGTACTAGCTCCTGCTGACACCGCAGTAGCTGGGCTGTGACCCTGTCATCAGTGACACTGTTTAATTAGACTTTGTAGTGTCTTCTGTCTGGTGTGAAGGGAATCCTTCTGATGCTAGACTTCAGGGCCACGGGGGCATGGTCAGGCAGTGGGGCGAACACAAGCACCCCAGGCCCTCCAGGTCTCTAGTGGTAACGGATTGGCTGCTCTGCCCTCTTAGTCTGACCCGACATCGTGTGACTGCTTCCGGATGCTCTCTCCCTCGTGTCTGGAGAGCTTCATAACCCAACAAAGGGGAGTGTGTGTGTTCTTGCGTCCACAGACTTCAGTGTGGACTCCCCTTCCATGTTCATGCATTCATCAGTGCTGGTGGTGGGCCCTCTGTGCCTGCGGCCAGGCCTTGCACATACACAGTAGACATCCGTGTGCCCATGTGTGCATGAGGACTTCTTTCATGCTTACTACTCTGGAAACAGCTGTACCCATTCTCAGGAGAATCACGTCAGCTGACTGGCTGGCCTGTCCCCTTGCTCACTGCTCCATTTCCAGTGATGTTCTGAGACCCACACGTGTATTACGAGTTCCTTCACTCTGACTCCAGTTCTGACCCAGTGGGTGGTGTATGCGGTCCGCAACCTCACTGAGGACAACAGCCAGAACCAGGATCTGATCGCAAAGATGGAGGAGCAAGGGCTGGCAGACGCGTCACTTCTTAAAAAGATGGGCTTCCAAGTCGAGAAGCAGGGGGACAGGCTGATCCTGAAATGTACTGGTGAGGCGCCTTTGTCGGTGAGTACCCCGCCTCAGGTGGTCAGAGAGCCCTCCACTCTGCTCCTTCCTGAGGCAAGCCAGCGTCCCCTCATGTGAGTCTGGGCAGGAGAGTTTGCCTTCTAAACGGTCTACCAAAAATGTCTACGTATCATTGTAAACTAATTTGGGGATCCAGGCATTATGCTGCTATTTTAAACTTAAAATTTTAAACTTATTCTGGGGAAGAAATATAAGAAATCATTATTAAAATTTATATGTGGTTCCCAAAGTATAACTGACTTTGGAAGTAAGCTAATGGTCATTGCAGCGAGCAGGGCAGAGCAGAACCCAGGAAACACGTGTCATGTGGAGGGGCGATTCGGGTCTTGGTGATTCTGGTTACTGACAAAGTCCTCTGTATCGGGTTTTGTGTGTGTTTTTTTCTTGCCAGATGTCTATTCTTGTAAACAGACTTACTGTATCGGAAATTTTGTGTCCTTTTCCTTCCTAGTGAGCAACCTCTCCATCCACATAGCTGAAGTTTTGGAATCAGCCTCATGGATACTTCATGTTCTGCAGTCTGTGAATGACAAATATTTGAAGATTCACAAATTCAGGAGCCTGTCGTCTTTTAGATAGTAGAGATAAACACGTATAAGCTTAGACGTGCCAGTTGACAAGAATTCTGCTGTTTCTTTGCTTTGAAAACATAATTGTCTGATTTGCCTTGGTGCCCATGGAGCCAGCGTGCTTTTAAGTCATAGATTGTACTCACTGTGGCAGCAAAGAATAAAGTCTTCCCTTAGAGGACATATCCTTGTTTGGCATAGAGTGGGTGTTTGCTTGAATTCTGTTTGTTCCATCAGATGGCGAGTCAGCCTCGCTCCCTCCTTTCATTCTCCTCTCCTCATTGAGCTTTCTCAACGTGGCAGGCAACTGAAGTCGTTTCTCAGTGTAATTAATTCTAGCAATCTCTTTCCACCCCTTCTGCCTTCCAAAACATTGACAAGACTCATTTCCAGTTAATTAATTTGAGCAACTCTGAAGAATAGAGACCCCTACCTCTTCATGATAGGGGACTGGGCCATGTTGTCATTGAGCCCAGCTCCTCTGGAATGTGGCAGGGAACAAGAGGGGTGGGAGAAAACTCGGGCCATTAACTCTTCCTGTGCCAGATGGGCCTTGAATGAGATTTACAGTCTGTCCTTGCCCACCGTGGTGCGTCCGTTGTGGGGGAAGGATGTTTTATTGTGTCTACTGTGTGCGGTGCCACATTGTCAGAGAGACTTCGGTCTCTGCGTCAGCCGGGTCCTCACTGGAACCCCAAAACTCATTTGGCGGAACAGCTGTTCATTTAACCTGCATGGGTCTGTCTGTCTATATGTCTAATGGGGAGCTAGAATAAACGTCCATTGTGAATTCTTACCCTATATTATCTTTCTAAAGAACCATGTTACCTAATAAAATAATTGGAAACTGCACAATTCATGTTGCACCCTGCAGTGTAAAACCCACCGAGAAACAACTAAAAGTTTCACAGAAATGCCACCTGTCCCAGAGTAAAGTGCTACAGAGTATCTGCTAGCCACACTCGGGGAGCTTTGTGGGGACAGCCTGAACCGCTGCACGGGAGGGCTTACCACCTGGTGTCCTCTGGGGCTCGGAGACGTTTCAATCTATAGTATTGTGCTCTCTACGAAGACCATTTTCTCTCTGACATCCCGTCAGTAAAGAAGCCATTGTCAAGTGCACTGAGAAGTTATTCTTTCTGGGACACAGTGAGTTAAACCCCCTTCTCTCAGTGGAAGCCTGGCCGGAGGAAGAGCAGTGGGCGTCCCTTTTTCCTTTTCACAAGTTTGCAATAGACACTTCTCTTTCCCTCCCTCAGTGCACACCAGCGGAATCACACAAACATGGCAGTATAAGCCATATAATAACAAACCCAAATAAATAAAAGGGGGCCTTGTGCGAGGACAGAATGGGGTGATGGTTCTGTGTTTTCTAAATAGGAAATGTGGGGCTGGCGTAGTGAAAACATGCTGATGGCTGCATTGTGGCTGCCTTTCGGGGCCCCAGGATAGATTAGTTCCTGAACACAAGAGCTTCCCTGTCCTCGACAGGACATTCAGCCCCCTGAGAGCCTTGTTGTACATGTGGTGGGGGAATCGGCCATTTAGGAGGCAGGACAAAGCAGGCTAGCCTGACACAGCACGCTTTGCGACCACACCACGGTTTCCAGGAGCAGCTACAAAGCAGTCCCCTTCTTCGCTTCATTCCACCTTCATTTTGAAAGCTAGTGGGCAAGAGGCTTTTTTCCTGCTCAGTCCTGGGTCCAAGGAGTCAGAGAAGCATTTGCTAACATCTTTAATAAAGATACATTTCAAAAATACTTTCCACTTATGTGCTGTTTCAGTGTCTGTATAATTTATGTCTATATTGACCCATCTTGTGATTTTTTCAAAGCTGATACTCAGATGTCTCTTTTTCTTCAATAACTTTAGAACCATAAGACTTTGGAAACTATAAAACATGTTCACTTTATAACACTGGGATATAAAGAAATAATCGTGGTGATGGATGTTGAATATTCATGCTGCCTAGGTGCAGGCCCTACGCCATTCCTCACGGAAAGCACTGGTGATGATTCTCAGAGCAGCGCCTGGGCTTCAAGTGTTTCTCAGAGGTTATATTTCTCTTCGCCCTTTATATCTCTGAAGGGATAAACAAAGGTGGCGGAACAACAAGGAATGTTGGTGTCTTTGTGGAAGGAAGAGAGTGTATATATTTCAAGGGCAGAAAGGTCTGCATATAAGGGAATCAGTGTTAATATGTGAAGCAGTAGAATTGAGGCAATTTAAAAATGCACAACGAGGGACAGAAACTAAACATTCAGACCTGATTGGGGGGCGGGGGAATTCCCTCATCATCTGTGGTGCTCTCCAAGGTTCTGATCAGCGGCCTGGCTACGTAAAGAGGAAAGTTGACTAAAACCTAGTTTTCAAAACCGAATTGAGATTTTTCTTTCCCTTGCATCTGCATGCTGCAAAATATATTTTCTTCTCCTCTTCCTGGTGTGGTGCTGTAGGATAAGCCCTGGATTGCAAGACGGTTTGAAACGCAAGTTCCACAGTTCAAACTACCCAGCCCCTCAAAAATCCTACATAGGGTCACTATGAGTTGGAACTGACTCGACGGCTCTTAACAACACATGTATTTTTGTGTAATCATTTGGATGTTTTAGGTGAAATTTTACAATACGAACATGACTTTGCGTTGGAGATCTATATGGACGTCATGGTATGCGTGAGTGCATTTGTGGTCCCGTTGCCCATTCGTGGGACTTGGATCACACAGCCAGAGGCACGTCAGAGAGAGAGATGGTACTTAAGTGAACGCACAGAAATGTCATATGCTTCTTTTGGTTTAAAATCATTTAAGCAAGAGCTCCCATCATGTTGTACAGCAGGGATGTGATTTCGACCACTTCTCTCCGAAGTGTAGCGACGGTAAAGACTCAGCTTCAGAGGCCCGATGCCTGGGTGCCTGTACTTGTGTGTATCTAGGCAGCGTGCGTACACTCTCTGTGCCTCCATTTCTTCACCACTGAAGCACAGCTAGGGACGAGAGGAAAAGCAAATGAATATAGTGCTTCTGAAATGGTACACATTCACAAAATAATTGTTATTCTGAGTGTTTATCCTGTTTCAGATACTGTACTAAGAAAACAGTGCATTCATGTGTTCACTGATTGCTGTTCTAGGAAGTGTGGTGGCTGTGTAGGGTAAGCACTGGCTTGGGAACCGCACGGTCAGCAATTCAAGCCCACCAGCTACTCTGTGGGAGAAATATGAAGCTTTCTGCTCCCGCAAATGCAGCCTTGGAAACACTATACAGACCCAGCACCTCTGTGATGGAAGCGCGGACTCTGAGAGCGGCCTCTCCCAGTGCTGGACTGGATGGGGTCTGGGGGGCAGGGGGCGTCTGACTCACAGACCCTGTAGAGGGTTTCTGAGGTGGTCAGTCTTTTCGGGAGTGACTGGAAGATTTGAACTGTTGACCTTGTGGTTAGCAGCTGAATGTATAACTCACTGTGCCGCCACGACTCCTAGGACTTACTGGTTGTTGTGAAGTGCTGTTGAGTCAGTTCCGACTCAGCCACACTGTATAGGGTTTCCGAGGAGCATCTGGTGGGTTTGAACCGCCAACATGTCAATTCAAACTGACCTTGCAGTCCAGTGCTTATTACGTATCAGTCCTCTTAGCAACTCTGCCTGAGTTATAGAATCATTCCCATGGTATGCATGATGCCACTGAGCCAGAACTTAATGCCCAAGGTCACACAGTAGCAAGCATGGAATGACTCATCAGGGTAGTTAACAGGAAGTGAATGTGGAAAAAACTGACTTCCCTGAAGCATGTAACATCAACATAGCAGAAACGCCGGGGGCGGGGGTCTCTGGACCTACAGGGAGGACAGGGTGAGGGAAGAGCTAGGTGCAGGCTTTTCCATCAGAAAAAGCCTAAATTCAAGTCTCAACTCTACTTTGTGGTGGCTGTGGCCTTGAGACATAGCTTAGCCAGTCTGAGCCTATGTCCTTCTCCAACAGTGCACTGGGCTAGGGATGCACCCGTGAACAAAATGCACGCTCATGCTCTCCTGAAGCTCATGTTCCTATGAGGAAGGTAAAATCAACAAGCATGGGACACCTAGAACAGAGCATCACTGTGGTACTTGGTATCACAACGGAAATCAAGAAGATGCTGTGCACACTGGCCAAGTAGCCTCTGTGAGCTGAGCTCTGAATGCTGAAAAGGAACTAGCTACACAACAGACCAGAACAGCGTCCAAGCTGAGCGAGTAGCACAAAGGCCCGGAACTGGACATGCTTGATGTAGTCACAGGTAGGAGATTGGCCAATGGGGCCAGAGTCTGATGATCAGGGCAGAATGGCATGAGGATAGGCCAGGAGGGTGACCAGGGGCCGGATCATCCAGGGACTTTCAGGCCACATAAAGGATTTGGATTTTCTTTCAAGTGCATTGCTGCTTTCCAGAGTCCTGCCATCTCCCACAGCAGACATCCGAAACTTTCAGAAGGAAAGACTGGGAGGACCATATTATTAGCAGGACACATTCAGAGTTGCCTGGTCAGATGTCATCTTTGAACAGGGTACAGCAAGTTGTTGACTCGGATGATACACAGGCCACAGAATCTGTTGCTATGCAGTGTGTGCCTGGCCATTGCTCACAACAGCTGTGACTGAACCATGTTTGAACTGGTTCGAAGCCCTCCAGGGAAGAGAAGCTAGTATTTGTGTAGTTTCGAGCCAGCTCAGACATGGTTCAGTCATTGACAAGGCTCTGAAAAGCAGCATTCCACTTGGAGTGCATTGGAAGTATTTCCTTTGGAGGTACTTTCATTTCAGAAAAGAGGGAGAGAGAAGGAAAAGGAATAAAAACAATATGAAGGCAAAAATAACAGAGAACATGGAAACCTAAAAGGGGTTCTAGAACTTGCCCAGTAAAATAGGCTTCCTACGGAGTCTTTGTAAGGAGGTCTGGTAGCGTAGTGGTTACAAATTGGGCTGTGAACCTCAAGGTCAGCAGTTCGAAACTACCAGCTGTTCCGCGGGAGAAAGATGAGGCTTTCTGCTCCCGTAAAGATTTACAGCC